GCCATGGCTAAGGAATTCTGGGAGTTGAAGTCTACCAGTCTTAAAGTTGGTATGGGGATTTCTGGGAGTTGAAATCCACAAGTCGCCATGGCTGAGGAATTCTGGGAGTTGAAGTCCACCAGTTTTAAAGTCGCCATGGCTGAGGAATTCTGGGAGTTGAAGTCTACCAGCCTTAAAGTCGCCAAGCTTGGCGTCCCCTCTTTTAAAAGGAAGCGGCTGACAGAAGGGGGATTCCAACAGCCTTCTTAGAAGTGGGACTTGCCTGGTTGGCCCCTGGCGGTGGCCCCTGCCCCTCCTGAAGGGCCCTCTCTCCCTGACAGATCTCTGCCTATGAGAAGGAGGTCTCCGGGCTGCGTCGGGAGCTGCAGCACAAGATCCGGCACCTGGAGGAGCAGAAGGAGGCGGCAGTGCAGGAGGCTTCCCGGGCATCCGAGGAGCAGGCTCAGCCCCTACGCAAGCAGCTGGAAGGTATTGGGGGGGGGGTTAGGGGGTAATATCACACCACAGGAAGAGGGGGACCAGGGGGTAGATTCCTTCCCCCTCTCCAGGGAAAAGAGAGCTCCTGCGAGCATCTTGAGAGGATCTGTCCTGCCCCTGTCAGAATCTGATTCGGAGAGGGAGGCTGAGCAGCTGACAGGGAGCGGGATTATGGCTCCGTCGGCTGTGGAGGAAACTGGGGAAGGGCACAGTCTGGCTGGGCAGAGCAGGGGAGAGGTAGAACAAGGGAGAGGAAATTCAGAGGAAGACCCAGGCCCACCCCCTCTTCACCCTAGGGCCCGCAGGGAGGAACGGAGAAGGGAGCAACGTGGGTTGCTTGGCTTACGGGGGAGGAAAGGGCCCTGATCCCCTTCATTAGCTGCAGCTAGGAACACAGCATTTTAAAAGGGAAGCTGCCCACAGTAAGTTGTTGGGAGGAAATCGTGAATTTATCTGGTCTCGTCGTGGCTTATCCGGGTTCCTGGCGTCTTCCCAATTGTGTGTGTGTTTTGCTGGCCTTTCAAGTCTGCAATTCCTTCTCCTGCCCTGTCCAGTTAATTACGTCAACGCGGTTTGTGTGGGTTTTTAGTTACAGTTTGTGTGTAGTATGTTTTTGGACTGAATTTCCTCCACTTAAAGGCTGTTCCTGGGAGAGTTTTTCTCTCCAGCCAGAAGGTAACCTGGACGTTGGGGGGCAAAGTTGGAGACAATAAAGGGACTCTCCTTGCTTATCTGACCGGGTTGCCTTTGGGCCACGCCCCTTTGGGTCATCACAAGATCCCTGTTTGCGGAGAGCAATTTGCTCCTTGGGGCAACCCACAGACCTGTAAAGTCATCTCCCCCCCCCCCACATTCCATTTTGGTCTCTCCCCCTTCCCCCCCCAGGAATGAAACAGCACCTGCACACCCTCCGCCCCTTCCTCCAGGGGCTGCAATTGGACTTCCGGAACATCCAGGGGGAAATGGGGAGTTTTGCCCACTGTTACAAAGCCGCCATCGAGGAAGCCAAGCTGCAGGTGAGACTGGGATGCAGGGTTGAGGCTCAGCCAGGGGAATTCTGGGAGTTGAAGTCCACACACCTTCAGGATGCCAAGGTTGAGAAGGGCTGCTCTGGTCTCATGGCTGGGGGGGGGGGGGGGGGGCGAGGGGGACTCCATGTTCTTAAGGACCACCATCAGTGAGCTGTTGGACAGTATTACTTGGTCTGTTGTGTGGATGCTTGTGTGTTTTTAGAAGGCAGGGGATTTGGGCAGGTGGGGGTGTGTTTGGGGATTGTCATGTGTCTTTGCGTGTTGAGTCTGGTCTCTGGGTGTCAGGTGAATTTTGTTGTATGTGTATACTTTGTATATACCTACAATGACAATAAAGTACTGTTGTTGTTGTTAATCTTTGGTGAGATTCACGGCCTTTGGGGCCGGTTGGTAGCTCAACAGCTTGAGTCCTAAGCAAGGACCTGGGAACTGTTCAGATATTACTATTACTATTATTATTATTATTATTATTATTATTATTATTATTATTATTATTATTATTATTATTATTATATCTAGTGAGATTCACGGCCTTTGGGGCTGGTTGGTAGCTCAACAGCTTGAGTCCTAAGCAAGGGCCTGGGAACTGTT